GAAAAGAACTTCGATAGCGAATTCTTGATACCACATGATAGGGATTAACGAGGATTTAACACATTATTGACCTAGCAGGGAATCGAATCCTGTAGTTCACTTTACTTCAGGAAGCAACCCCACTGGGGGTGAAAAATGTTCCCAGCTAGGAACTTTGGAAAGTATACCAAAGAAATATTGCTGCTTTCGAAACAGTTTCGTCCCAGTCGGAAGTCCTGTGAGGATTTCATCCGCGCGTGAATAAATTTTGATCGAGCGTCCAGAAAGGAGCTGCGGACAAGCGGGAAAACAGAGAGGAGATGGGAGAAGGCTTCCTCTTTTCCGCTCCTCGCTCAAGGACAGAAGGAGCTTTTCTTCCTGATCCTTTGGGACGACCTGTCCTGTGAACTTCCGTCGCATTTGTATACGTTGCCCACGCGTGCGTCCATACACGTGTCTGGTATTTGCTATTTTTCCATTGTGCAGTTTTCTTACTGCGAGGATCAAACATTTACTCCTAAGAAGATCCGAGGATCGCTACGAGCTATTTTTCTCTGTCATTCTGTAGTATTAAGCCTTTGGACTATAACTGCTTTCTTATATCATTCGCAGTCTAGTTGCGAACGTCGTATTTTAAAATTATTATAGTAAAATGTTAAAATAAATCAGGCGATTTATATACACATATAAAAATGTGATTAATCGAGGCAGTTTCTTTTTGTTATCAGCAGTTTAATATGGTCCCATCTGTTGATAATATTCTATGTAAACTTTAGCAAGTCGGCGTGACTGAGATTCCATGCAGTATGTAAATATTCGTCTGATAAATTGGGTAATTTTTCATGCATTCAATTTTAGACTGTGCAATTTTTTCTCTTGCCAGTTTATCTTCTCAAAAATTAAAATTTTAATTAAAAAACTGAATTGTGCCGAGGTCGTGGCAAAAATGAAAATATACAAGCCAGAACAGCAGAAGAGTTCAACGTATTGGTACAAAGCAATTTCTAATCCTCTTACTGCATTTCTTAATTCTACCCTTTACTCTAGTGACTGATTCCACTTGTTAATTTTTGTTCAACCCTACTTTATACAAAATCGAATAACATACTAGAGTCGATGGATTCCATCATAGAATCGAAATCGCACGCCTCGAATGTCTCAGAAAACACTTTGACGTGTAAACATACCAGCAACACGTGAATGTATCAGAGATGAGTAAACTTCCCCCGCGGATGAAAATTCCGAGTAAATAGAAAATAGATAACTCCACACATCCCCTATTTGTTCAGCAAAAATTATAATCTGAATTATGAATTGAAGCGATACTTTGCGTTGAACAAATAAATGTTTATCTAAATAATTGTTGAACGGTGTACACGTTGCAGATAAATTAGAATACGGTGCTTTCATTATAATTACAAATTAAACCGTCACGTGTTGTCGGTCCTCGTTCTACAGATTCACTTATTCTTCGGGTATTACTACGATATAACTACGAATCGAACTCCTAACATTCCATTAACGAGATAGCAAACATTCTCTGTCGCGAATCCTCTAGAAATGGTATACTGGTCGATGATTCGGTTGTGTTGGGAAGGTAGGTGTACGCACACCCACAGCGGGCACGCGTGGGTTTTGCGCCTGTGGGGTTGTTTACGGCGTGGCACGGGAATTCGATCCAATAACGTCTTTATGGCCGTCGTAAGGTGAATGCGGCAGCTCCTGTGCTACCAGGACGAGAAGATTGCGGTGGGGTAAGGGAAGACCGTGGGAGGAGGTAAAGGAGGGCTACGTGTGGTAATCCAGGATCACGATTCGGTTGGGTATACCTCCTGAACTCGGCGGGACCTTAAGATCAAGGAAACGGCTTTTTACACGCGACCGTGTCGATCACCATGTACATATCTGCAATTTCCTGCACTCGTCGACGCCTGGGGGTGTTAGCATCCAACTTCGCACCCTCTGGCTGTTGCGGGGACGATTAAGAGTGCATCCTGAATCATTAATATGGATAAGAATCCAAAACGGGACGACTCCGTGTGATGGGTAACGCAAGGGTAACAACCGTGCCGTTAAATATTAATGACGAGTCGGAGGAACTGGGTGTAGAGACGGCGAAAGAAATACAAGCGATGATACAATGTGTACTTAAAGTAGGCATGTCGAATCTGGACATTTCACATTATAATTCTATAATTCATAACTTTTATCTCGTATGAATCAATTCAATGTTCGTGACAATTTCAGTGATGTATTTATTCCATTAGTATTGTATTCTGACGTATCACGGCATTCATTCTTATGTGTCTGGCCACGTCTAAAATGTAGTCCTGAACGCTTCTAAATTATTCCTTGGAACACCTTGTACCTATACACGTAACCATATCCACAAAATAATAATCGCCCCAATGCCACCCCCTCACGGTGATTTACGGGGCCATAAACGCGGCCTCTACCCTTGTAATGGGGTTGGTTACCGCGAGGGGTATCCACGCCTCTACGATTATCGTCATGCCACCCATTCTTTCGGTGATTGTATAGTTTCAAGGTGAGCATCGTTGCCTTTTGAAAACTTTTCCTTCGCGTAGAAAATCGTGTCAGGCTAATATTCGCGTGATGCTCTACGATACTACACATTTCGGTGCGAGAGTTTTTTTTTTTTTTTTTTTTTTTTTAAATACCTTGAGGAAATTTATTACGCGGAAAATTATGGAAAATGTATACAAACACGAGGTTATCCTCGTGGTGCTTATAAAATGCCTTAGTGGCAAATTGACGACTTAATCGCATCGTGTATCTAAAAAGTAGAGAAGCGACGTCCATGTGACAAACTCGAGCAATGTTAAGCGATCCTAGTCCCAGCTGAGCGCACCCATTGCACGACGTTCAGTATGAACACCAGTTTCATCCAAGCTGCACCTCGTCGTCTCTCCATATCTCTCACGACTCGTTCCTCCTTTTTCCGCGATCCATTCCAATCGTCGGCTGAGAGGAAACGCTGCATCTGCATCGTGCCTCTGATCCACTCCTCCCCCTCCTCTCCTTCCTATCTCTCCCCTTGCGCGCCATATTCCGCGCCATATTTCTTTTTTCAGTTCGAATCAATATTGCTTAAAGGTACGTCGCGCATCGTGGAACGAGTGGAAGACGATTTCGCGGATCTCATATTTACGAATTCAATGGCGTATTATCCGATCCTCCAGAGATACAGGCAACAGAACCGATCGGGGGTGGCGGGACAGGGGTTGGGAGAGGGGGTGGTAACAAAAGGTTTCGAATTATCGAGGGAAGCTGTGCCACGAAGAAAACGACAGAGAACGAAGGGGTTGAATACTTAAGGCGGTCGAAAAGGAATTTAATAAAGAAAATTTGCCCTTACCGAGACTTTTGACAAAAGATCCTCAACGCAATGTCGGGATTATTTTATTATTACATTCTACCGCCATCGGGATCGTCCTGGAAAATGCCGCTTCATTCGAAACGCAGTCCAAGCGTCCGTACAACATCACCGGTCGACTTTACGACGTGGAAGTAACGTTAGAATATTTTTCAGTGTCTCGATTGCACGAACAGATTATTTTTACGACAACACACGTTTAAGTAGAGGTTTTAGGGTATTAGAATTGAAGTTCAGCAATCGAGTAGAAGAAAAAGCAATCCCGCGCGGTGTAAAAACGCCGGATCAGAAAGGTCTTCATTAGTTGCAGGCTCGAAATTTTGACAGGAAAGAACGGCGGAAAAACGCGCAGTTTGTTTGTGGAAATCGAGTTTGACGGGGACGAACGATCATTCATTCGCATTTCCATAGGGGGTCATCATTCTGCAGAGCGAGTTGTGCTACCTTGCGTACACATATACATGCACACACGCCTGTGGTTGGTTGAAATCCACGCAGGCCGGAAAATTTGCAGGTGACGTAGGCGTGCAAACGCGAAAACGCACACAGAAGCGCGAATAATGTCGTGGCTGGACGAACCGTTCTGAATTTAACGGCGTTAACTCCGTTTCCAGCGCTAATGACGCATAGAGCCGTGCAATTGGGTTTTCCTCCGAATGGAGGGAAATTCTCTGCGTGGATTTCTACCGAGGATACGGTGTCCTTATGTCAACCCCACGCGTTACGGGCGGACAGGGTTCGGGGGAAATCGACGAATGACCGACCCATTGTTTGACGATTAAACTCACACTGTGAGATGAAAATGATCTATTCACGCGACGATTCGCCACTGAAACAAGGAAAACGAAGCTCATCTCTTTCGAGAAAATCCAAACCGTACGTCGGAGATAAAACTTGTATTAATCATTCTCATCCCTGGAATGCTACATTTCATTTTTAATATACATTAATCTCATCAGTTATGAATAGACCGCGGATTTTATGCATTTATGGCTTACGGTAGTGTGAAAAATATATTATTTCACCGGTTCGCAAAACTTTTCATCGGAAGAAAAAGAGTCGATCGATCAAATAGTTAAAGTTTTTTAATTATGTAACGGCTCTTGACGGGTTCGTTTCTTTCACCGTGCGCCTGGTACTCGGTATGTTTACATGTCGGACGTTAAGAATATTGCAGGAGTTTGACGTGAAACTGGGGAACAGCAGCCTTCCGTCAGGCAGAATACGCAGAAATTCAATTATGGAGATAATTCTGTATTAATATTTGGATTCGTTGGAAGTCCAGGCGCCGAGGAAGCTCCGTATCCTCGTTTAGTTATCAAAAACTGTCGGACGTCTCCAAAGTTACGCTCGCTTAAATTGAACTCGCTGGCTTGGAGCTAATTTTTGTCAAGTTAAAGAGGAAATATTAAGGGGTAGAAATGTAATCATCCGAGAGTTGAAATTTCAGTTGGAAGCTCTTTCAATTTTAAAATGTGTACCGCGTTTCGCAGACAGTTGCTAATTTAAAAATTTAATTTCTTCTTCCTCGAAGATAAATAAACGATGTTGAATGTAATGTACATTCTGAGAATCAGAGATTTCAGTTGGGAACTCTTTCCAATGGGCATCTTTTCTGTTGCAGGCGTTCTTGGAAATGGCGGATGAGAGTGCTGCGGTAATGATGGTGAACTACTATGCCTCTTGCATCGCGCAGCTCCGTGGCAGAGCAGTCTACGTCCAGTTTAGCAATCATCGGGAGCTCAAGACGGATCAGACGCATACCAACAATGCGGTGAGTAGACCAATGAAATAAAAGAAATTGTTTCGTAGATTGTTTTGTCGGTACACGTTTCTCGAGACTAAACAAGTGCTTTCCTGCCAAAATAAAACTCGGAATATTTCAACAGGGCGAGTAAACAGTGCAAAGATCGAAAAGAGAACGGGCGTCGGTGTACCCGTGGTAACGCATTCAACAATATTTTTTCAGTGAAATTAGTATTAAAAAGGAGAGAGTGGGATAGAGAGAAACGACGGTACCCGGCGGGTGTAGTTCCTTATAACTAAGGGAGCCGTGTTTCTACGTCTACCGGTTGAATATATGAAAACCAACCGGCGCAGTAATTTTCAGCAGAGGTTAAAGAAAGCAGAGGCTCTCTTTGGATCCGCGCGAATCCCGGGGTTCGCTCTTCCATATTCAGTTATTGCGGAGCAGTTCGCGCAATTACTTTATAACGAGTGGCTCGCTGTGCCCTTAATATTTTCATAATTTCGACCCCGTGGAGGCCGAGCGTTTCTTTCTATGCGGAACACGCTTACAAAACGCGAGAACTTTCTTTGGTTCCGTCGCGAACCGCTGAATTCCAGACGACATTCCCTAGACGGACCTAACTCATTCGATTAGGCGACTTGGTTTCGTGTAAACAGACGAAACGGAAGTATCGAAGGATATTTGGCACGATAAACACGCACACCATCCGTTATAAAATAGGAAAATTAGTCGATTGACTGTTGAGTTTGTACAGCATGAGTCACGAGAAACACGTAAATGTCTCTTATTAGGATGAAGGAAAGGAATAAACGTATTATTAAACTTGGCCCATCACCGATGCGCTAACTCTCGCTGGAGAACTGTGAAAACCCTTTTAAGCTTTCAGGGATGTCGAGTCGATAAACAGTCGGGTCTGGAAACCGCATTATAATTATCGCGTTCATAACTTATGAACAACTCCCAGGGCGAGAGGGTCCATCTTCTCCGTGATCCTTGTCACTGCTCTATTCTCCGGTTAGGGTGACACTGTCCATCACGCGCGTTGTCTTTGCAGGTGTTTAGATGTCTCCCGCACGTGTCTCTGCGCTTGTCGCCCATCGCGCAACATGACACGTCTTAGTCACGGATGCCTCCTGTTCTATGGAACGATGAACGCAGACAATTTTCTCATAAACATCCCCTCCGGAGTTTCCAGCCTCGTCAATTATTTTATCGCCGAGTTTATACCATCGGCATTCGTTCAGAAATCATAATCTACCATCGAAATCTAGGCTTCCCGAATTAACGGTTTCTTTTATCCTAAAAATCTGTTAAATGTTAGTCTTTGTTACGGCTAAAATTTCTATTGTCTAAAACGTGAGTATGGTTGGTATAGAGAGGAGAGTTCTAATCGATACTGGTCGTGGCATACGTAGTTTAAAAATGTAGCATGACTGAGATACGAAAGACAGGGGAATTAGTTCAGGGATGAAATACAGCGTCGATTTCCGCGACGATACCATCGATATTTATTAGTATTGTTTTTGCCACGGCGGATCGAAGCGCAAGAAATAAGCTCGGAAACTTTTTATGACAGTTTCCTCCCTGCTATAAAGTGGAGTGAAATTACTTATTAATTGCAAAACTTTCTGCGGCCGTGGTACGCGCCAGAAAGGAATGGAGAAATACGAGCTTCCGGTATCCAGTTTTCTTTTTTCTTTTTTCTTTTTTTTTTTTTTTTAAATAATGAAAATGGTTTCAATCCACTTTGGCGGAAACTCCAGATACAATGGCTTTGTTTATCGAGTTTCGTGAAACTCGAGAAAGTGGAAAAGTTCATAAAGGAACAGGATTCGCGAAAAGAGCATTGTTGCGTTATTATGGTAAAATTTTACTACCCAATTTTATTCGAATATTTCATTCCATATTAAATATCAAATTAAAAATTCAATTCTAAATTCAACCTAAAATTATGACTTACAATATTTTTGGGCATTTCAGCTTATTCTTCCATTGTACTCTTTCTTCTTCGTACAAGGTGTTTCGGATTACGAATCCGAAATTTCAGCATGACCAACGTTTCTTGATTGTAAAGAACAATCGGAGTCATTTGTGCTATCTCAAGCAAAGAATCTCATTTTCTTCAAGTTATAAAGTACGTTTATAATCAATTTATGCGGTCTTCCGTGTTAATTAGATTTAAGCTTTTCTACTTACATTTAAAGCACATAACGGGTACGATTTATATTTCATTAGCTCTTTCATGAAAGCCTTAAATGAAAAGTCTATTGATTATGTTGCCATTGTGCAGTTATTCGCTGCACCCATTGAAATTTCCACCGAGCTGAAAAGACTTCAACATTACGAATAAAATAAATGAAGTGTGAGGAACTCGTGCACGGAATACTAATCAAAGTCTATGGGACATTTGAAGTGCTAAATAACAAAATGTTCAGAGCCGTGCCCCGAGAGAAGGGAGGAGAAGTTTTGGAATATTTACTCACTTATTTATTATTTTCCCTGTCTCACGTGACCGCGAAACTTGGGATCTCCCCGTGGAATTGGTGTCCGTTTCCGTGAAGTTGTCGGATTATCCGGTAGGAAAGAGCAGTTTGGTAACTCCTGAGACACCTCTGGAGACCAACCACGCGCCATCGAGAAGCTTGAGTCTACCTCGGATGAGTTGGAGCCTGCTTATTAATGATAACGACGTTTTCCATCGATCCATCGACGACCGAGTAACTCTCATGCAAACGCATCGAAAAGGCACAGTTTCTTCCTTGAGGAGACGTCATTTCTTTCCCGAGAGGCGTAGCCGTCACTCGAAGTAGCATTATTTTTTGGCTAACAAGTACAGTTTCTGATTTGACAAGGCTTGGTTCCTAGTCTGAAAAGGGGTGGTTTCTAGTCTGAGAGGCGTGGCCTTGAGTCCAAGGAGGCGTGGTTTCATGATCAATTCATTGAAATAACAGTGCTCTTCCAAGATTTGACTCGAATTTTTCTGAATAGCTCGCGTCTTTGAAACGTAAAATAATGTTCGCGCGAGTGGATACTGATAGCGTAAGTTTTCCGGTTTCCATCTAAGAGCATTCTAACGGCGTGGATGAAGATGGTTTGGTTCTCTAAGCGTGAAACAGCCTCTCTCTCCCCCCCCCCCCTCCTAGTAGAGGTCGAGTGATTTCTCGCAGAACATCACGGCTGACAAACGACGCCGAAAAAGCAATCGCCGTGAAAGCCCCGGCGGTGCTTGCATGCACGTGCGTTGCTCTGCTTTGCGTCTACCGAACGTGGACCTTGCCGGGGAATTTCTGTAGCGTTGGATGAGCTTCGCGTTGCCCGAGCAAGAGAAATTCCGTTACCAGTTGTCCGGTTTCGCTTATGAGAATTTTATGGGACATAGCAGATAGCTTGCCAGGGCTCCAAATAATCGCGATTCGGTGAACCATGATTGAACGTCGTTCCTCTTTTCGTGGAAAAGTCAAGAACGAAACATAGATATTTGGCATGGTCAAAGGCGTGGCTTCTTCTTCGAAGAGACGTGGTTTCTTGTTCTTTTGTCTACGCAGCCAAAGTTCCTCCAGAAATGTTCGCAAGCTGCGAACACAGAAATAGAGGCTCCCCTAATTTCAATCCTCGATCCATGTTTCATTAAGGAACACCACTAATACGCCGTTAAATCTTCGCCGGTAAGTCGAGCACGTAATCTCCGCAATATCTGCCGGTGGTCCCTCGTTGCATCCTTTTGTTTATGCAACAAGGGGATTTGGCGTTACGAGCGGAGAAGAAAAAAATTACTTTGGGACGCGGTTAATACATCGCTCACCCCTGGGGGTAATATGTCGGTTAAGTAAAAGGCGCGGCCGGGGTGGGCTCGTTTAATAAAGACGCCCGTACGACAAAGCGGCTCTGCATTGTATAGTAATTAATTTAGAGGCGAGTTTACTGCTCGACGCCCCCGTGCCACCAGCTGCATATCTCTGCCGCTTACACTCGTTCAACACTCTGTCTCTCTTTTTCTTCCTGTGACCTGCTACTCCCCTCTTCCTTAGCCTCCGTTTGCTCCCTCACAGAGTAATCTAACCCTGTCAGGAAACGTGAAGAAGGAATTGGATAATCCTCGAATTGTTTTGGAATGTAGTTCCTCCTTAGCCACCTTCTACCGCGTTCCCAACAACGTTTACCGACACACCACACATTTTTATAGCTAGATTTCTTCGAAAGGAAAATAAAAATCTAACTTGGAGCTGAGTTTAAACGATGGTAAGCTTCGTAAAGATGCCTCTTAATCTTGAGCCAGGTCTCCAGATTGCGACAGATAGAGCTTTTTATGAGTGTCGAAATTCGTGCTGGAAGCTGTGGGGACGAAAGAAGGTAGAACGAGGAAAATTACTGAGGAAGTTGGTGAGGAGTTGACGACTATGGAGGATACGGTTGCATATTTCGAAACTTGGCACAAATCTAACGGTTCTTTTCCTAATGCACCTGCATCGTATCAAAACTTCCGACCTTTTCTCTCGCTGCATGAATCTTTATATCAACCATGAAAATATTTATTTGCTGGAAAGAAACACAAAAATTCAAAGTCAAAACTCGTAAGACTCTCTCTTGGTCCATACGACTCGCTCGAAGAGATGTAGTTTCTTGCCTGAAGAGGTATGGCGTCGAAAGTGAAGATGCCTGATTTTTTAGTAAGAAAGGGCGTGGTTTCTTGTCTGAAAAGGGCGTGTTTTCTTGTTTGAGAGGCGTGTCCTCGAGCCGTCGGAGGCGTGGTCTTCCTCGAATCAGAAATTTTTCATTCTATTATAGAGTGCATATCTTCGTTTCTAATGGTCAGAATTAAATCGTATTCAAATTTTTAGAAACTTCACGTATGTAGTTACTGTAAATACTGAAATGTATAATTAATTATCGTCCTTGTCGAGGTGAACCGAACGAAGCTGAACACCAGAAAATACATCAGCTTGAAATGTTCGCGGAATAAAAGTTTTTTCTTATAATCAGGTAATAAAGAGGAGCATATAATCGTAAATTCTTAAATAGTTTGA